TGCCATTAAATATTTTCACCTAAAAAATAAAAGTCAACATTTCTTTGTAGTGTCTTTATATTTTCCTTTTTAAAATAAATACAATGTTCTCATCCTATTTTTCTCTAAAATTACTGTCATAGAAAAAAGTTCATAAGAATACCTTCAAAAGTTGACTCACATGAATATAAAAGTAAAATACAATTATAATCCATCTCAATAAGAAAAAAAAACCTTCAATGATGAATTCTATCATTATCTTTTATGTTAACAGAGGAGGCCATGTTTCATCAAATCCAAGACTCATTTTATATGCCCTCAAGGTAAAAGCATACAAATAATGTAAAAATGTCATTAATTAGTCCCAACTTTTCAGAAATGTCCAAAGGTAAAAAAAGTGTCCATTTTTAAATTGACATTAGCAGTAGGCATCATAATGAATGAATAAACAAAGAAACTATCCCTGAACCCTTACTATGTAACCAACACTGGGAATTCACGTGAAGCAGCAGACCTGGTCCTTTCATTGGGAAAGTTCTTATTCTCCTTACCTGTCACCTATCCATGATCAATATATCCTATCCATCTTTTGATATAAGTTCAAGCCATGAGCCTCCCTCGACCACTGCACTGCAAGTTAACACCCCTTCTGCTCAGTCCTATGACTTCTTTTGTCTGACATGCAATCATTATCTCTCTGGTGTTAGTTACTTTGCTCTCAGCGTAAGTGTGTAAGCTCACTCTCTAGCTAAATTCCTCATTATCAGACACTTGTCTTTATCCTTTAAAGTAATAAGAACTCACTTATATTGCCATGACTGGTGTGGCTCAGTTGGCTGGGTGTTGTCCCACAAAGCAAAAGGTCACTGGTTTGATTCCCAGTCAGGGCACATGCCTGGGTTGTGGGTTTGGTTCCAGTTGGGGTCAGGGAGCATAGGAGAGGGAACGGATTGATTGTTCTCTCCCTCCCTTTCTCCCTCCCTTCCCTTCTCTCTAAAGATAAGATCTTAAAAAAGAAAACCTCCTTAAAATCTACTGGGGAATGGGGTAATCTAATATGTGCATGATTTATGAGTAACAGTCATATATACGTATATACACAGGACATAAATGGATACTCTACTGAATAAAACAATTTAAGGGATTGTTTGTGCCTAATATAAGCTTTACTCGAATAACTTTGTACAATGAAACAAAATATTAATATATTTTAAAAATATATTTGTAAAGAGCTCCAAATATTAAAAATTACCTCCTCTCAAGCATATAAATCATTTCTTAAATATCAGGCGTTTTGAGAACAATGCAGTATCCTAAAATACAATGCAGTAATTCCAAATAGGGTAACAGGAAGCTGAAGGTGAAATAGAGGCCTGCATTTAGGACAAAACTTACAAACAAAGTTAGCCCTTGAAAACAACATATTCGGTCAACAAGTATTAAGTGTAGGCCAAGGTACAATATAATTTAATAGACAGTGGGATATCAAAAGGTATGAAATAATCCACTGTAACTTCTGGCCACTGTCTCTAGCCAGATGGTTCCATATCCTTATGTTGGGATGTCTTAGGGTATGTGCCTACACTGGCAGAATCAGAAGTGGAGTATAGTCAATCTAACTACAAAGTACACTTGTTTTAAAATACAACATAGGCAGTCTCAAAATTATGAAGGTAAATATACCAAGAATTGCCTACAATCATTAAATTTTTTCCTTGGTCATGCTCTATTTTATATAAATACACATTATTATCATTGTTGCAGCACTGTAACCAAAATTTTAAATTGTTATATAAAATCTTTCAGGTTTTCAGAAGAAAAAAACAGTAGGTACTAATTTATAAAATTCATTTCTGATTTAGGCTTTGAAATGTCACAATCCCATAAATGCTTTTATGATTCTAAATTTTTAATTATATCCGATTTATCTGAATGAAAAGTTCAAGGCATAAATTGCTGAGAACATTTTTCAAAGACTAATTTTCCAATTCATTGAAACACAAAATAAACCTTATGTGGTTTAATGTAGTTCCAAGCCATAATGTACATACTGCTTTATATTTAGTGTGTAGGTTAAATATAAAGCTTCTCAGCATTAAAGAAGGGTTTATGTTTAAAAGAATAACTCCACGTGGTTTTATTTAATGTCATATATTACGGAATTATGGCATTATAAAAAGAGCTAATTAAGAGTCTTCTTTCCATTGCGTCTATAGCTGACTAATCCCTCTTTTTTTTCTTCTTCCTCTGTCTCTGCTTTTCATTAAAGTTATAACCAAATCTTGCCTAGGGACTGCTGCAACTATCTACGGTTTAATTCTAAATGAACAATCTCAATTTTACTTCACCCATATACTTCCATATACTTATACTTACAAATCTGCAAGAATTAGTACTTATATCAACAGGATCTAACTTACTAACAGCAGCAAATATTTAGTAATGTCGATCCAAGATGGTGACATTCCTGCTTGATAAAAAAAGACTAATTAAGCTCAGCATGTCCAAATGACAACAGCCCCTGCCTAGAATGAGATACTTTATAAAGGGAAAGGACATAAAACTGAGTTAAATTGGGCATGTCTATGTTCTAGAGATCTCTAAACATCTGGCAATAACTGCTTGGCCCATTTTAACTTATGTGTATCTTTAAGCAAAGACAACATGTACAGAACATTTCATTAATTTTCTTCAGAAAATATATTTTGTTTCATTTTTTTAAATTTTATAAATCATGTTTATTCTATTACAGGTGTCTTTTTTTCATATTCATTTTTTTTAAATTTATAAATCATGTTTATTCTATTACAGTTGTCAAAGATTTTATTTATTTTTTTAGAGAGAGGACGGGAGGGAGAAAGAGAGGGAGAGAAACACCAATGTGTGGTTGCCTCTTGTACATCCTCAACTGGGCACCTGGCCCGCAACACAGGGATGTGCCCTGACTGGGAATCAAACTGGCAACCCTTTGGTTTGCAGGCCGGTGCTCAAGCCACTGAGTCACACCAGCCGGGGCTAGGAAAATATATTTTGTTACCACTACTTCTAGCTGGTGTTTTCCTATACCAGGAGACTTGAACAAAACAGCTAGAGTTGTAACAAAAGAGGAAACACCTTCTAAGTATAAAGAGTATCCCAAAAGTGTGCAAAGAAACATAAATCTCATTAGCCAGTTCATGGGAAAGCTGGAGGTAGGAGATACTATATTTACACCCAAGAACATAGGAATCCATGTATAATCTAGAATGAAAAAGATGAATCTACAGGTAAACAGAGAGTCAGTCAGTAAAGAAAGAATAACATGCCACTGAGAGAGCTATAAGAATGTTCAAGAAGCATATAAAAGGCACAGCAAGGCCATCTTCCACAGCTGCCTTAATTCTTAACGGCTTTCCTATGCAAGTTTAGAGCAAATCCTCCTTTTCTTGAAGTAACTGGAGTCTCTGTTTTTCACAACCACAAAACTGCAACCTAAGTGACATGATAACTTCTTCCAAGTCATTCCCTTTCCGCACATAGAGGATAACGACTATTCCTGACTGAACAGCATCCCCTTCTGAAATGGATGAAAGCCTCTCTTTCCTGTGGGAGAACCCACTCCTTGCAGTCTGTGTGGGGTTGATCCCGCCCATCCTACCTCTGCCCTCCTCCAAACACGCACCCATTCGCACTTCCTTTCTGCCAGCTGCTCTTACACACTCCCGCCCTCACACTCACCCACAGGCTTTCTCTCAGGCACGCACTTTCCCCCACACTCTCCCACACGCACAGGAGTGGCTACATGACTCATGCCCAGCCAATCCGCATGCCCCTTCCACTAACCCCCATCATTTGTTCAGGGCTGTGTACCGGGCCCCAGCTAACACAGTAAGAGTCGTTCCCATGACTTTCATACAGGAGGATTCACTAATCCTCCAAGCGTCCTGGTTATAGCACCTAGCATATGGCAGGGGTGCTGAATAGTTTAAGAATGAATGAAAGACACCTATCCACTCAATTATTCATTTTATTACTATTGACTGAGAACCCATTACCTATAAAACACTCTATCAGGCACTATGGAAGCTACAAATACAGGAGCTTAGTCCATCAAAGAACACAGTTCCTGGCCTCTTTGCGGCCATGGATGCTTTTTGACTTTCTGATAAAAATATGGGCACTCAAGCCCTGACCAGTTGTGTTTCAGTTGGTTGGGTGTCATCCCACAAAGTGAAAGCTTCCTGGTTCATTCCCAGTCAGGGCACAGGCCTAGGTTGTGCATTCGGTCCCACTCGGCGCACAGACAATGTTTTTCTCCCTCTTTCTCTCCCTTCCCCTCTCTGTAAAATAAATGAATGAATGAATGAATGAATGAATGAATGAATGAATGGTTTTTAAAAAAAGGCAAGAAAATATGGGCACTCTATCCCGAATAATAATAAACAAATAGCCTAAGATTTTATATTAAATTTCCAGGGAGTCTCAAGGTAAGAATTACAGATCTAGTAAAAAAGTTAAGGCAATATTTATACATATACAAAAGTATTATAGTCCTTTATACTCTAAAAGAAACAATCCTAAAACTCCAAGAGAAATCAATCCTAATAAGTTCAACCCATTTAATTTTACTTTTTATGTTTCTTAGTACAATCAATTAAAACAATGAGTTTAATTGCAATTGAGCACAATGTTCTACCTTATGGACCAAATAAAAAAAAGCAAGTTTGTAAATCTATATAAGAAATATCTTCTAGGGAAGATGAAAAAAATGGAAAATAGCAAACTTAAACTGACATCCTAGGAAGAACAATTATCAAATGTTATAGAGTTAGAAGCAACCTTAGAAATTACCCAGATCAATCCTCTGAACAGTCCTCTCTTTTACTTAATTAAGGAAGGTAAGGCATGGTAAAAGTATGCCCAATAAAACTGAGAAGTATTCAAATTTATGAATCAGATATAGGATAACTGAGATCAATACTAGTACCACAATAAATTTTAGAACATCCAAATTAGGTTTAGTAACAAATCTAAGTACTTACATTAAGAAGTAATTCATCTTTTGTCTTAATAACAGGAAAACTCTTATTTTCCTTCTCAACTTGTAAATTGTCTTCTCCATCAGACAGCACTGGAGGAAGCGATATTCGAGAGGAAGAGGAAGATGAGGAAGATGATGAGGAAGAAGAGCTTGAACTATCTGAATCTGTTTCACTGTAGGGAAAGGAAAGTTGAAAACTTAGTAAAGCAGTAACATGATGATATTAACATATTTATTCAACTAGGTAGGATCTACTACATGTTCACTCTTGCTGACATACTTCAAAAGCTAGCATTTTGAGGTTGACTATGGTATTTGGAAAGTTAGCCCTTAATATACTGATATCATTTTCAAAACCAGTTATAACTGCAGCCCACTTATTATAATAGTCTCACACATCACTCCACTGTCTTAATATAATTAAGCCTGTGTCAAATCACTGACAGAAAAGAGCTCTGGGCAATGCACTTCTCTTACTGGTCACCAATGACCAGATCATTTACTTGCCAATAGTTTCAAGCAACTTGGAAACTCAAAAGGTACCAACCATGTTTACCATTCTATTCTCTGAAAACACCTTTAGCCCTTGACTTCAACGGCAAATCCTGTTGCAATACCAGTAACCCTTCTCTGAGTTTAAATGTTGTTTGCTGGCTACCTCCTCAGTCCTTCTTCTCTTCTCTCTCTGTACTCTTTCACAGATAACCTCATATACTCCAATGTTTTTAATTAGCATTCATGTGTAGATAATTCCTAAATCTTCAGCACTGATATCTCTGAGCTCCATTTAATCTCTGGCTGCACACTGGCAACCTCTGTGTAAATGACCTACACTTACCTCACACTAGCAAGCTAAAAGAAAAAAAAAGTGCCTTCTCCTCACTGAATCGCTTCTCTCTTTAAGCTTCTATTTTATTCATTGCTTAAGACTTTAATCCAGTCACTATAGGTAGAATCTTTGGGATAATTTTGAGCTATTGCATTCTCAATGATAAAATTCTATCTTCAGATTAGTAAACATCATTCCTGCAATATTATTCATAGTGGCGAAGACATAGAAATAACCAAAGTGTCCTTCTATAGATGATTGGATCAAGATGTGGTACATATATACAATGGAGTATGACTCAGACATGAAAAAAATAAAATAATGCCATTTGTGACAACATGGATGGACCTTGAAAATATCATGGTAAGCAAAATAAGTCACACAAGGAAAGTTCAGAATCATATCATTTTACCCAATGTGGGATATAAAACTGAAAGCAACAAATGAATGAACAAGAAAAACAAACTATCAAAAACTCACTGACATAGACAACAGTATGATAGTTACCAGAGGGAAGGGCGGGGTGGGGTGTAGTTAAGGGTAAAGGGGTCAAAAATAGGGAGACAGAAGATGATTAGACCCTGGGGGGTGGGCACACAGTGCGATATACAGGTCCTGTATCACAGGGCTGTACACTTGAAACCTGTATGATCTTATTAACCAATGTCACCCCAGTAAATTCAATAAAAATAAATAATTATTCATGACTGGACATTAGATATGAGGGAATCATTATTAATTTTGTTCACCTCCTAGTAGTAGTATGAGTATACAAGAGAATGTCCCCTTAGAGAATGTGTGCTGAAATATTTAGGGATAAAATATTATGTGTGAATGACTTAAAAATGGCTCAGTAAGATATACACATGAACCTATTAGTTCTGAAATGTTAATAATTGTTAAATCAAAGTGATGGTTTTATGGGTCTGGACTATTCTTCCTAATTTTTATTCAGAAAATATTAAAACAGAGAAAAACCTTAAATTTTCCCCCCATAAACCTACACTGTGGACAAGGTAAAGGCCAGGCACCCTGAGTGTGACATCTCAGAGCCCCCAGCAGTCAGGTTCCTGGTAACCTTCCGCACCCCATCTCCGATCAGTTTCTCACACGCACCCTAACATCTAGCAAAGAGGTTTATAGAACTTTCCCTGTGTTTGTGATACTACTTTTGACTAGAATGTACTCAATGGAGAGAAATTCTACTTCTCTTTATAGTCTCAACTCAAATATCACCTCCTCTGAAGCCACCCTCCCCCCATCCAAAGTAGAATTATGGGACTTAACTTGCCTATCTCCCATGGCACTTTTTGCAAACTGCCTACTAGAGCCTGTCCCATACTATACCACAGTTCATTGAAAAACATGTTTTCCCAGATGAATCTTGAAGGACCTGAAACCAAGAGGTTAGCTCCGGCAAGTATCGTCTTTCCTCCTGTTACCGGGGGAAATGGGCAGAGGCCAATGTCGCCCCTGGGACTAAAGAACCCATCGCATTCGCAAGTGAACTCCTTCCCACTATTGCTGTATTAGGCATTTCCCCCTCTATCCCAGATGCTCCCATCAGCATACATACATTTTATAATAGCTCTGTCTAATCTCTTCAGCTGTGGCCTCATTCCTCCCCTGAATATTTCTTAAAAGAGTTGTTAACAACTTGTTAGCTCTTGATGGCTTTAAATATCACATTCACTTAAAAAAGATTTATAAAACGTAACACACAGATCAGACTCTGAATGTTGTTTGAATTCTAATTCAAACAAACCAACTGTTAACAGACATCCTTCAGACAACCAGAAAAATCTAAATACAAACCGAGCATCAGGTGATATTAAGGAATCAGAATTCATTTTACTAAGGTTGATAATGACATGGTTATATAAAAAAGCATTTTATCAAATACTGCATAGTAAAAAATTTACAGGTAAGGTGACCAGCTGATTGAGATCTGCCTTAAAACTATCAAATTAAAAAGAAGGTAGAAATACGAGCTAAAATGATTAGCAAAATACTGGAAACTGCTGAGTTCAGTGAAGAGTATATGTGCATCATTATATTACTCTCTACATTCTCCAAGTTTGAAAATGTCCGTAAAAAGTTACGGTTTTATCTGAAATATGGTGCTGCTCAAATGTACATCTCCAGCCCAGAACTGTCCTCCAAACTCTAAACTCATTATACTGCCGCTTGTCCGACACCTCCGATTTGCTGTCAGGGAAATCTCACATATAGTATCCAAATTAAACTTCCTCACTGGTCTCCAACCCCCGTCTTAGTCACTACAATCCACTCTGATGGCGGCTCTTTGTCTAGGCCACTGCCACATCTATTAGCAAGACAGATCAGCGTGACTTCAAAATATTTAATCCAGACACAACCATGGTCACATTGTGGACTCATGCAACATCTTTCAACTATTTCCACTCATGCTTCTCTGCTTTTACTCTTGAACCCATTCAATTCTTCCTCTACAGAGTAAAGCTTATTAGAATGTTAACCTGAGCGTGCCATTTCTGTGCTTAAAATCTTCCAAAAGCTTCTCAGTACTTAGAATGAAAATTTTAACATGGCCACAGTGTCCTACAGGGTTGGCTCTACTAATACTTTCTCAGTGCCTTGCTTGTTCCTTCACGGTAATTTTCACCAACTCCATTTATTAGTATAATTACTCATCTTTTTCATCCCTCTCACTAGACTATAGGGCAGAGATCATGCCTATTTTTTCCCCTCTGTTCGATATCCCACACAATGCGTTCAAATATTACTTGTAAACAATGTTAGTGTGGGCAAGGAAAATCCCACACACTTTAGTTCTCTCCCACCACAGACGTTTCACATTTAAAAAGCACAGGTGAGGGATGGTGGACTCTTACAAAACCTAATCAAAGCGTACAATAACACTAAGTAACAATATCTTGCTAATTTCACGAACATATTCTCCCCACAAGATTATAAGAATTAACAAAACTGCCAGAAGGAAATTTGGAAACATATAAAATCCTTTAACTAATCCTCACTACATCTGGTTCAACAAGAACACACGACTAAACTTGATGTAAGAAAATGTCAGATCTGACGCGAAACTCAGAAGTTGTAATCACGAAGGGATACGCCGAACTAAGTATTATGGAAATAATGTAATGTTCTCAGGTTTCCCATATTTCAACTGAAAATGCTACCATCTATACAGAGGACCTTTTAGACTACCAAATTTAGGGAGGAGATGTGGAGTCCGCAGGGTACAGCGAGAAAGGGGCGGTCCCAGCTACGAGTCAACACGTGCGCAGCGAGTTGCAAGGACCTCCCCTGCCTGCCGGGCCCAGGCGGGCACCGCCTCGGCCCCCAAGCCCCGGCTCCTCCCGCAGGTTACACAACCGCTCTCCCAGCAGCTTCGGGACCCGCAGGCACCCGACCTGTCCGAGTCCGAATCCGAGTCCGAGGTCCCCAGGGAGTCTGGGGTCGGCACCAGCTCTGCAGCGCCCGAGCCGGTGACGCAGTTCCCTCCAGGTGGCGGTTCGGGCCCCAGCTGCGGCACGGGGTTGCCGCCGACTGCAGTGCTCAGCGCGAGCTCAGGCGGCTGCTCCGTGGATAGCTGAGCCTCCGCGTCCTGCCCAGTGTCTGGGGACACCTCATCCGACTGTGGTGGCTGCGGTGTCTCCGGGACAGGAACGGAGCCCGGTGACGGCACCGCCTGCCCTTGGCCAACCCCAAAGCCGGTGCCACCGAATTTCAGAGTCTCCAGCTGAGCGGCGGCGGCCTCCACTACTTCCATCGCGTCGCACTGGAGACCGGGTCAGGCTCACGTTCTTGGCCTCGGAGAGGCTATCCGCTCGATCTGGAACTAAAACGACCTTAGCAGTGGACAGAACCGCGCCTGGGCCCCACTTCCCGCGTTTCTCCAGTAACTGCACGCGGGGTTACCTAGAGACACGCCCCCACCGTTTACTCACCAGCACTTCCGGGAGAACGTTTGGCGTAACGTGACGCCACCGCGCTCACTGAGGGCGGGGCGAACCGCGGGATCTTTGCAACTAGAATCTCCGGCGGCTCTCAAGTCCCCAATTTCCCTGCAACTTTGGTGCTGTGTACAGCTGGAACTGCAGGATCAGATGGCTAGACTCCTAGTCCTATCACTGGACCTGGCGCTTATCTATCGGGAGCAAAGATGTGATTGTGCGGAGCTCTGTACTTCAGAAACTAGAGCCAGGAAGCCTTGAACAGACACTTTCAGCAAACCACTAAAATTACATTAAGTTAATTGATAGATATCGAGCACGTTGACCATTCATCTCAAAAAAATTACTACAACTGTTCCAATTTTTTTTTCCTCCAAAGCAACCTCGAATTCAAGAGAGCAGTAATGGTGAACAGAATGTTGCTACTTAGTGATGTGTATCTTGTAGCAAATAGTTGACATATTTTCATCAAAAGGGTGGGAAGAGGCTAATAGAAACTTAGCTTGGAAAGCCATTACTTCAGATCATAAGGAAAACAAGCAAAAAGTTCTTAGGATTGAGGTAGGGATCGGAATTGTATGCTTTCCTAGAGGAACTTAAATTTAATGCATCAGAGCTTCCCGTAGTAGTACTCATTGTTACCATTTATTAAGCATGCATATGTGTCAAGGAGTGTGCTAAAGATTTTATTAGTTAGAGTTCTCTGGAGGGATTGGTTCCAGGAAACCCCACTCCCCTCCCTCTCAGATGCCAAATCCAAGAATGTTCAAGGCCTTTATATGAAATGGCATAGTATTTGCATATAACCTACACACATCTTCCTGTAAACTAAAAACCATCTATGAAGTACTTAAAATACCTAATACAATGTAAATGCTATGTAAATAATTTTTATACTGTATCAGGTAATAATGACAAAAGAAGTTTATGCATGTTCAGTACAGACACAACCATCATAGGCCCAGCTACATAGTACATGTCAGCAACAATGTAACATTTTTTAAAATATTTTCCTTCCGAGGTCACGGTCAGTTGAATCCAAGGATGCAGAACCCACAGATAACAGAAGGCCGTCTGTATTCAACGAGAATTTATTATGTGTTCTTCACAGTAGTAAACCTTCACAGCAATTCAAGACAAAAGTGGTTTTAAGGAGTTTACAATCTAATTGAAATAAAAAGGTCAATGCACAGGATGTAGAAAAATACTTGAAATGTGGAATAGAAGATGTAAGTTCTGTTAAGTAAGACTGATGGAAATCCTGTAAAAAGAAGCAGGAATTTAAACTTAAGCTACTACTCACTAGATTATGAGCTCCCTCAGCTTTCTGCCTCCAGATTTATAAACTTCATTTTACCCATTTTTACTAGTATCTCTTTGATCTTAAAAACCAGAAGTTCCTTCCTAATCTAGAACTGATGCAGATGTGCTATGGATTTCATCTCTTCAGACCTTCTCAGGGACCATTCTCATCTATTTTATTTCAGTATTTTCAGTTAAAATCAACATTTGTCTTCTTCTTTCCTCTATTTCCTTTTTTCCCCCTCCTTAAATATGTTTTCTTTTTAACCCCTCTCCTTATTTTTTTTCTTCATTGGAAAACTATTTGAAAAAGTAGTCGGCACTTGGTTTTCTCCAACTCCTCATCTCTCATTCCTTAACTCATTGCAGTAAACTTATGACAGAACCACTACACTAAAACGTTTCTTTGAAAGCCATAAACAACTTTAGCTCAATTGCCAAATCCAGTCACTGTTCTTTAGCATTCATCTTTGCTGGCCTCTAGGAACATGATGCTGTTCATCACTCCCTCCACTTTTGGCATTTGGGGTAGCATTCTTATATTTCTCCCTTCTCTGCTTGTCTTTTCTTTCCTTCCTTCCTTCCTTCCTTCTTTCCTTCTTTCCTTCTTTCCTTCCTTCCTTCCTTCCTTCCTTCATTTTATTTTTGACCCTCCATTCGCTCTTTACCTTTGGTGTACTGATCAGTTTCACCTCTTCCCTAATCTATTCTTAAACTCTAGCCAGAATATGATTTCTGAAATGCACACGTGATCATATAATTGTTTTGGTTTGAAACCTTCTAATAACTCCCCTTTGTCTGAAGATAACGTCAAACTCCTAAATGTAGAATGGAAACATAGACTTATAAGTCACCCACCCAAGTGGTGATGAGAATAAACATGTTGTCAGAGACAATTTTAAAAAGCATGGTGACAGGGAAATATTGGGCTGGTGTACATTGTTTTGGGTTGGAGATTTTGTGATGGCTACATTTGACACACTGTTCTCAAATATTCAAATATATATGATCTAATCTAAAACTTGACAGCTCTTAGAAGTTGGAACTATAAACTTTATCTTAGACTGCCATGAAGACTCCACTTACAGTATTGCTGACCCTTAAAAATGATCACCCATGGCATTTGATCATCCTCTGCTCTAACCCTAGAACCCTGTTTTTATGGCAGGTATTTTAAAGTCCCCCTACCCACTTCGAATATGACTAAGAATGCCACTTGATATCAGTCTTTCAGGGACCCTTCAAAGCGCTCTTAGGATACTATATATTCCCCTTGCCTACTGCTACTAGAAAAACTACCAGGTAGACCACATGAATCAGGTAGTTGAAAAAAGTCTCCAGGGAAACAAATCCTCTAGGAAGGATTCCAGGGTTATCTCTTTTCCTGGGGACTGAATTTATATATACCAAGTGTGGCAGACTGGACGTTTGTATGCCCTCCAAATTCATATGCTGAAACCCGATGTCCAAAGTAATAGTATTAGGGGGAGGGTCCTTAGGAAGGTGACTAAGTCATGAGGGTGTAGCACTTATAAAAGGGATTGGTGCTTTTATAGAAGAGATTTGAGAGAGCTCCCTTGCTTTTCTGTCAGTGTTACTAAAGGGTGAAGTCAGCAGTCTGCAAGCAGGCAGGGTGCTCCCACCAGAACCCACCCACACTGGCGCCCTGATCTTAGACTTCAATCCATCAAAACTGTGAGAAATAAATCTCTGTTGTTTATAAATCACCTGGTCTCTGATACTTTGTTATAGCATCCTGACTAATGAAGACACCAACATTCCATAACATATTTGTTAAAAGTATATTAAATTCAAACTTTTGAATGAAGCCCCAGAACACATGAGGTACTAGACTTCCTTGAATACAGAATTTCAAAGGAAATAACCAATGCTCATTGATAAAAATCTTACATCAGAAAAAATGAAAAAAAAAATAGGAGGAGGGATATTTAAAGAGTTTTATGAAGAAGGTTTTGGAAGAAAAATTCATGGATTATTGATGCCCATTGCCTCCTTCAATCTCCTTTCACTAATTCTCCCCACCATTTTCCATCAACACAAGAAGGACTGAAAAACCTAGAATGGTAACAAGCTACAAAAAGAGAAGAGACTGTAGAAGAATAAAAGAGAAAAGAAAGACCATGTCCTACTTCCCACTGTCAGTGACCAGCTCGGAAAAGGCTTCAGCAGACAGTAAGTGAGATTTCATGTTAAAATCAAATTTAGAGTTTTGAATATTATCTAGGACATATTACGGTTCTGAATTGTGACTATATTGGCCCCTTTAAAAAATCATAGGACTTACTCTTATTGAAGAATGACCAGCGTAGTCAGAGGGACTGAGTTTCCGCACAGGCAGGAGAAGGATTACTCCCACTGGGCAGAGGTAACGGGACCGTGGAAGACACAGGTGAAGCTGTATTTTGAATCACATGGCATGAGTCCATTGTACATAATCATAAAATCCCCAAACTTTCCCAGCCATCTGCCCACCCAAATCTGGGCGAGGTCCCCATGGCAGGTACTCTTTCATAGCCACAACCGAGGACACGTCAACATCTTGCAGGAAAGCATGCTTTACTGAGAGCAGAGGGTAATTCAAACAGGCATAAACTGCTCTGAAGTGGAAAACTAGGTGGGCCCATAACATGGATTCACTGTTATCAATCTCATCACTTTCTTTCCTAAAATCGCCCGCTTTGTATATTAATCTTCACTCTTTATTATGTCTAACTTTTGGACATTGCCTCATCCTTTCTGTCCCAAAGCAATGCTGGCAGCTTCAGGGCCTGGCTAGATTACAAGCTTGGGCAATCAAGGACCTCTCGCCTCCTCATGTACATCCCAGACCAGGAATATCCGTGGTTATGATGGATGGAGCAAGGGAGTAGGAGTGAGTAACCATATCTTCAGCAGATACCACATCAGGCTCCAGGTTAAAAGGGGCCTCTGAAACGTACTGAACTGCTGGACAGAAACCATACTCTACAACTGTCTTGAACTCTTTCTTCTAATAACCCCTTTGTATTTTTTTCAATCCCATCTCTTCAGACTTTGCATTCATTCTGGTATACCTACTATGCTTTTGACCCTATGAAATGCTCTCTCTTCATCCCACCAACACGTCTCAGAACGACCTTGGCTAATACTACTTCAGAATCTCTACTTACCTTCAAATAACCTCTAACCCAGGGACATATGGCTATGACCCGTGCTGCCACCTATTTGGCTTACCAATGGGTCAGGCAGGGTAGGCGGTACAGAGTCATAAAAGAGAATGGCAAGGAGAACTGCAAGTCAATTTTATATGTCAGTTATGCCTTAATAAAGCTGATTTTTTTAAGTGAGTATTTTTGGAACTGCTCTATAATCCAGCAAGGATGTACAGCTAACACACTCAACAGATTTCTTACATTTATTTTTACTTTCAGTTCTGCCTGAAGCCAGGGATTACATTCCCCTTTTCTGTAAATTTTCATTTACAGGCCAATTTTGAGTATTTCTATTTGTTGCCTATAATTCAGTCCTGAAGTTACCAAAATTGATTTTATTCTTCCAAGAACTATATTTTCTTTTTAATAAAGCAATATGAAAGTCAAACAGAGGTCAATCAATAGTTGAATGGCTTTATGAACCCGCGAATTTGGATGCAACAGCTGTCATCGTTTCCAATTTGGGAAAGAAGCAGTAAAAACAGATGTCTTGTGGTTTGTTTGCTGGGTCAGAGAAAATTATCTTCACACTGCCTT